TTTCGGTTTTGGAGCTTCTAAACGAAAAACACTCCTTTAGCTTTGGGCATCCGGTTGCTGGATCTCTATTCTTATCCCCACTCATAAACACGCGCTCTATTCATATTTGCACTCGCAAACCCTAACCCAGCTTCTTCTTCGTCTCAATCTTTTGGTGTGGCGACTTTCTCCTGCGTTTTCGGTTTTGAGCCTCTCTAACCGGAAAAACACTACTTAGCTTTAGGATCCGGGTGCTGTTTCTTCAAGTTCTTATACCCAATCATAAACACGAGATCTAGTCATATTTGGACTCGAAAAACACTAACCAAGCTTCTTATTGCTTCTCAATCTTTGTGGGTGTGGCCGGCAGTTATATGAGTTTTCTGTTGTCGAGCTTCTAAACGGAAAAACATACTTTGCTTTTGGATCTGGTGCGGTGTTCAATTCTTAGACCCAATTATAAACACGAGATTCTAGTCATATTTGACTCCAAAAACACTAACCAAGCTTCTTATTGCTTCTCAAAATCTTTGTGGGTGTGGCCGAAGTCCTATGAGTTTTCTGTTTTGGAGCTTCTAAACGGAAAAACACTACTTTAGCTTTTGGGATCCGGTTGCGGTTCTAGTTCTTATACCCAATCATAAACACGAGATCTAGTCATATTTGACTCCAAAAACACTAACCAAGCTTCTTATTGCTTCTCAAATCTTTGTGGGTGTGGCCGAAGTCCTATGAGTTTTCGGTTTTGGAGCTTCTAAACGGAAAAACACTACTTTAGCTTTTGGGATCCGGTTGCGGTTCTAGTTCTTATACCCAATCATAAACACGAGATCTAGTCATATTTGACTCCAAAAACACTAACCAAGCTTCTTATTGCTTCTCAAATCTTTGTGGGTGTGGCCGAAGTCCTATGAGTTTTCGGTTTTGGAGCTTCTAAACGGAAAAACACTACTTTAGCTTTTGGGATCCGGTTGCGGTTCTAGTTCTTATACCCAATCATAAACACGAGATCTAGTCATATTTGACTCCAAAAACACTAACCAAGCTTCTTATTGCTTCTCAAATCTTTGTGGGTGTGGCCGAAGTCCTATGAGTTTTCGGTTTTGGAGCTTCTAAACGGAAAAACACTACTTTAGCTTTTGGGATCCGGTTGCGGTTCTAGTTCTTATACCCAATCATAAACACGAGATCTAGTCATATTTGACTCCAAAAACACTAACCAAGCTTCTTATTGCTTCTCAAATCTTTGTGGGTGTGGCCGAAGTCCTATGAGTTTTCGGTTTTGGAGCTTCTAAACGGAAAAACACTACTTTAGCTTTTGGGATCCGGTTGCGGTTCTAGTTCTTATACCCAATCATAAACACGAGATCTAGTCATATTTGACTCCAAAAACACTAACCAAGCTTCTTATTGCTTCTCAAATCTTTGTGGGTGTGGCCGAAGTCCTATGAGTTTTCGGTTTTGGAGCTTCTAAACGGAAAAACACTACTTTAGCTTTTGGGATCCGGTTGCGGTTCTAGTTCTTATACCCAATCATAAACACGAGATCTAGTCATATTTGACTCCAAAAACACTAACCAAGCTTCTTATTGCTTCTCAAATCTTTGTGGGTGTGGCCGAAGTCCTATGAGTTTTCGGTTTTGGAGCTTCTAAACGGAAAAACACTCCTTTAGCTTTTGGGATCCGGTTGCGGTTCTAGTTCTTATACCCAATCATAAACACGAGATCTAGTCATATTTGACTCCAAAAACACTAACCAAGCTTCTTATTGCTTCTCAAATCTTTGTGGGTGTGGCCGAAGTCCTATGAGTTTTCGGTTTTGGAGCTTCTAAACGGAAAAACACTACTTTAGCTTTTGGGATCCGGTTAGGGTTCTAGTTCTTATACCCAATCATAAACACGAGATCTAGTCATATTTGACTCCAAAAACACTAACCAAGCTTCTTATTGCTTCTCAAATCTTTGTGGGTGTGGCCGAAGTCCTATGAGTTTTCGGTTTTGGAGCTTCTAAACGGAAAAACACTACTTTAGCTTTTGGGATCCGGTTGCGGTTCTAGTTCTTATACCCAATCATAAACACGAGATCTAGTCATATTTGACTCCAAAAACACTAACCAAGCTTCTTATTGCTTCTCAAATCTTTGTGGGTGTGGCCGAAGTCCTATGAGTTTTCTGTTTTGGAGCTTCTAAACGGAAAAACACTACTTTAGCTCTTGGGATCCGGTTGCGGTTCTAGTTCTTATACCCAATCATAAACACGAGATCTAGTCATATTTGACTCCAAAAACACTAACCAAGCTTCTTATTGCTTCTCAAATCTTTGTGGGTGTGGCCGAAGTCCTATGAGTTTTCGGTTTTGGAGCTTCTAAACGGAAAAACACTACTTTAGCTCTTGGGATCCGGTTGCGGTTCTATTTCTTATACCCAATCATAAACACGAGATCTAGTCATATTTGACTCCAAAAACACTAACCAAGCTTCTTATTGCTTCTCAAATCTTTGTGGGTGTGGCCGAAGTCCTATGAGTTTTCAGTTTTGGAGCTTCTAAACGGAAAAAACACTCCTTTAGCTTTTGGGATCCGGTTAGGGTTCTAGTTCTTATACCCAATCATAAACACGAGATCTAGTCATATTTGACTCCAAAAACACTAACCAAGCTTCTTATTGCTTCTCAAATCTTTGTGGGTGTGGCCGAAGTCCTATGAGTTTTCGGTTTTGGAGCTTCTAAACGGAAAAACACTACTTTAGCTTTTGGGATCCGGTTGCGGTTCTAGTTCTTATACCCAATCATAAACACGAGATCTAGTCATATTTGACTCCAAAAACACTAACCAAGCTTCTTATTGCTTCTCAAATCTTTGTGGGTGTGGCCGAAAGTCCTATGAGTTTTCTGTTTTGGAGCTTCTAAACGGAAAAACACTCCTTAGCTTTTGGGATCCGGTTAGGGTTCTAGTTCTTATACCCAATCATAAACACGAGATCTAGTCATATTTGACTCCAAAAACACTAACCAAGCTTCTTATTGCTTCTCAAATCTTTGTGGGTGTGGCCGAAGTCCTATGAGTTTTCGGTTTTGGAGCTTCTAAACGGAAAAAACACTACTTTAGCTTCTGGGATCCGGTTGCGGTTCTAGTTCTTATACCCAATCATAAACACGAGATCTAGTCATATTTGACTCCAAAAACACTAACCAAGCTTCTTATTGCTTCTCAAATCTTTGTGGGTGTGGCCGAAGTCCTATGAGTTTTCTGTTTTGGAGCTTCTAAACGGAAAAACACTACTTTAGCTCTTGGGATCCGGTTGCGGTTCTATTTCTTATACCCAATCATAAACACGAGATCTAGTCATATTTGACTCCAAAAACACTAACCAAGCTTCTTATTGCTTCTCAAATCTTTGTGGGTGTGGCCAAAGTCCTATGAGTTTTCTGTTTTGGAGCTTCTAAACGGAAAAACACTACTTTAGCTTCTTGGGATCCGGTTGCGGTTTTATTTCTTATACCCAATCATAAACACGAGATCTAGTCATATTTGACTCCAAAAACAATAACCAAGCTTCTTATTGCCTTCTCAAATCTTTGTGGGTGTGGCCGAAGTCCTATGAGTTTTCAGTTTTGGAGCTTCTAAACGGAAAAACACTCCTTTAGCTTTTGGGATCCGGTTAGGGTTCTAGTTCTTATACCCAATCATAAACACGAGATCTAGTCATATTTGACTCCAAAAACACTAACCAAGCTTCTTATTGCTTCTCAAATCTTTGTGGGTGTGGCCGAAGTCCTATGAGTTTTCGGTTTTGGAGCTTCTAAACGGAAAAACACTACTTTAGCTTTTGGGATCCGGTTGCGGTTCTAGTTCTTATACCCAATCATAAACACGAGATCTAGTCATATTTGACTCCAAAAACACTAACCAAGCTTCTTATTGCTTCTCAAATCTTTGTGGGTGTGGCCGAAGTCCTATGAGTTTTCTGTTTTGGAGCTTCTAAACGGAAAAAACACTCCTTTAGCTTTTGGGATCCGGTTAGGTTTCTAGTTCTTATACCCAATCATAAACACGAGATCTAGTCATATTTGACTCCAAAAACACTAACCAAGCTTCTTATTGCTTCTCAAATCTTTGTGGGTGTGGCCGAAGTCCTATGAGTTTTCGGTTTTGGAGCTTCTAAACAGAAAAACACTACTTTAGCTTTTGGGATCCGGTGTGGTTCTATTTCTTATACCCAATCATAAACACGAGATCTAGTCATATTTGACTCTAAAAACACTAACCAAGCTTCTTATTGCTTCTCAAATCTTTGTGGGTGTGGCCGAAGTCCTATGAGTTTTCGGTTTTGGAGCTTCTAAACGGAAAAACACTCCTTTAGCTTTTGGGATCCGATTAGGGTTCTAGTTCTTATACCCAATCATAAACACGAGATCTAGTCATATTTGATTCCAAAAACACTAACCAAGCTTTTTATTGCTTCTCAAATCTTTGTGGGTGTGGCCGGAGTCCTATGAGTTTTCGGTTTTGGAGCTTCTAAACGGAAAAACACTACTTTAGCTTTTGGGATCCGGTTGCGGTTCTAGTTCTTATACCCAATCATCAACACGAGATCTAGTCATTGAAAACAAGTTGCATTTGGAAGAACTGCAAGCTACAGATGTAAGATGTGCAAAGAATGAAACACTCTTGTGGAAATATCACACAGAAAGGTTCCCACAATGGATCAAAGATAAGGTTAGAAGAATGTGAATTGTGTAGTGTTTTTTAATTTCATGTCATTGACATTATGTTTCTCTGTTTCATGTTAGATACCAAGTAACTCAAAAGATCGTTCTAGTAGACTGAGATGGCTTGCATTTGGACCAAGACATATTGCTCAAAAATACAAGGGGTATATAATCAATGGTCAGCGGTTCCACACTGATGATGTCAAGAGGAAAACCCAGAATAGTGGAGTAACTTATGAAGCATTTTCTATGTGTAGATCAAGTGCTAAAGATACTAGACAAATGGCAGATATAGTATCATTCTATGGAGTGATAAAGGAGATCTTGATGCTGGACTACCACATGTTCCAGATTCAAGTTTTTAGGTGTATTTGGGCTAACAAAGGGAATGGAGTGAAAGAGGAAGACGGTTTCACACTTGTCAATCTCCATATGAACCAGTTAGCATACTTAAATGATCCTTTCATTTTGGCATCGCAGGCTAAACAAGTTTTTTACTCTAGAGAAGATGACAGCTCACCTTGGTATGTTTGTATGAGGGCGCCACCAAGAGGGTACCATGAGCTAGAAACAGTAGAGGAGTTTGTTTCTGCACCATTATCAGTCCAGCCAATTGAAGATTTAGGAGATCAATCATCTGACGACGAGAGTTTTTGTGTTAGGTCTGATTGTGAAGGTGTTATAGTAGAGGACTAATAAAAACTTTTTTTTGTTTCAGGTAATCAAAAATAATGAAACAAGTTACTGAAATCCGTCGCAGTAAGCGCCAGGCAGGCCTTGATGTCACTCCTGTAGTGTCATTGAAGAAGAAGAAGAGAAACAAGAAGTCTATCATTGAAGAGAATGAAAGAGACAATGAAGAAGAGAGAATAGAAGTGGTTACTGAAGGAGATGATGGTGTAGAGGAAGAAGATATTAATGGAGAAGAAGATATTGAAGAACAAGAGAATGGAGCAGAAGATAATGAAGAACAAGATAATGGTCAGTCTCAAGAGAATGAAAGAGATAATGAAGAAGTAGAAGAACACTCAGCCCAAATACAAGAAGATCGAATCCCTCCTTCCACAGCAGGTGCCTCTGAAACCCAGACACACCAGTCAGACAACAAAAAGAGGAAGTCAAGAGGTCCAACTAGAATGCGCAAAGTGGCAAAGAATCTTGAGGATAAGGTAGAAGTGGAGTTTAATGCTCTTGGTGAGCATGTTGGTAAGGGATCAGTGACACTCTCCTCTTTCCTTGGTCCTCTAGTGAGAGAGCATGTGCCTGTACTGCTAGATGACTGGAGACAGCTTGATCAAAGGACAAAAGACGTTATGTGGGAAGAAATTCAGGTTATTTTTCATTTTTGCTTGAATAAAAGTTATATGAGAGTGTAGTTTGTGTCTTAACTTGGCAATGTTTGACAGGGGAGGTTCAATATAAAAGAAGATTGGCAGAAAGAAGCAGTATTTAGGCAAATGGGTGGTCTGTGGAGGGCTGCCAAATCCAAGCTTGTTACCAAAGTAAGATCTACTAAAAGCAAAGTTGCTCTACAGCAATTGAAGCCTAGCAACATCCAATGTACATCAGCCTGGAACAGTTGGGTTAAGAACAAATGCACTGCAGCTTTTAAGGTTATTGTTTACACTCCTTTGATTAATTTCCTTAAAATAGTTATACTCATCTGACTCTTTTTGTCTATAGGAACGAAGTGAAAAATACAGGCAACTGAGGAAGGGTCAAATTCCTCATACTACAAGCCGCAAAGGAATGACTCGCTTAGCCGGCCCACGACGTAAGCAACGTAAGCGGTGGCTTACGGCCCAATTTTTTTTTTCTTCTTTTTGTTTGTTTGTTATTTTTTTTTTTTTTTGATAATTTCTTTTTGTTCTAAATAAATCAAAATAAAAACGTAATAGACTGGAATGTGATTGTAATTTCTTAAGGATGAGTTCATTAAGATTTCTGAATATGACTTTGTTCTTAGTTTTTGGATATTGGTTTTGATCAAGGCCGGCTCAATTATTTTGGAGTCCTTGTACAATTTTTAAAAATTGGTCATTTCTTCATAAAAAAAATAAAAAAATGGGCCTTTTTCATGTTAAAAAAATCTTAAAAATTGGCCTTTTTCATATTAAAGAAAATATTTGGGCTTTTTTCATGCTAAAAATATCTTAAAATCTAAAAAATTACCATTTTTTCTTACTAAAAAAAAAATTTGGGCCCTTAAATTTACCCCAAAAAAATTTGGCCCTGTACATTTGCTCCACAAGCACACCCTAAACGCCGGCCCTTTTGATGTTTTATGTTTTTTGTATGTCTGAAATTCTGTTTCGTTCATTTGAAGTTGAAGAAAAAAAAATATTATATACAAATTTAAGTAATATTTTAGAAGGGGAAAATATTTTTTTTATCTTGAGTAGGGCCTTCCAAGACATTGGACCGGCACTGTCTGTGGAGGGCTGCCAAATCCAAGCTTGTTACCAAAGTAAGATCTACTAAAAGCAAAGTTGCTCTACAGCAATTGAAGCCTAGCAACATCCAATGTACATCAGCCTGGAACAGTTGGGTTAAGAACAAATGCACTGCAGCTTTTAAGGTTATTGTTTACACTCCTTTGATTAATTTCCTTCAAATAGTTATACTCATCTGACTCTTTTTGTCTATAGGAACGAAGTGAAAAATACAGGCAACTGAGGAAGGGTCAAATTCCTCATACTACAAGCCGCAAAGGAATGACTCGCTTAGCTGATGAGATGGTATGTATTTTGTTTTGCATTGGGTACTTTTATTAGTAATTTACTCATGAGATGGTATGTATATGTGCATGAACTTGTAGAAAAAAAAACAGTTTTGATCCTAGAAAAGTTACTAGAAGTAAGGTGTGGATAGCAGGACATACACATTCTGATGGGAGACCTGTGAGGGAAGAGTTTGCAGAAACTATTGTAAGTAGCACTTAAAATCTTTTTCAATTGTTATTCAGGTTACTTTAAAGATTGTTTCTACATATTGTGATATAAAATTTGATGTCAGGAAATGATCAAGACCATTGATAGTGAAATGGACTCCACCACATCCACGGATAATGTTAGGGAAGATGCTGTGAGTTAGGTACTAGGAATAGACAGACCAGGAAGAGTTAGGGGGATGGGCAGAGGCGCAACTGTTACTAAATTAGCATTCTTACAGACAAGAGACTCTCATGTCAAGAAGCTTGAAGCTTCTCAAGCAGAATTGCTAAGTAAGCTTGAAAATTTGCAGAATGTGGTTAGTAACTTAGCTAGTAAAAAGGTAAACCTTTTGGCACTTATTGTTTCACAATGCCAACTTATATAAGTTTTGCTTAATTATGTGTTTTTTTGGTCATTGCAGAGACAGATTGATGATGTTTCCATGTCTGATTTAAGCAATGTTAGCAAAGGAGGAGTTAGGTGCCAGCTTCTTGATTGGTGTTTAAATGTTGAGGTGGTTGTTGGTGAAGGAGAATTCTACTCCAGTGAACACACATATAAGATTGGTAGAATACCATTGGGTCGCAATGCAGCTGATGTACTTGTGAAGTCCACAACAATTATACATGCATCTGTCTAGAGACCTACTCCAACCATTTTCACACTTAGTGAAGCTGTTGGACATAAAATTGCATGGCCACTTGACAAGATTATATTGGATGAGGATATTAAGTTGTCCCAACCTACTAAGACTGTCGAATCAGAGCATGTCAATTACAACTACTATTGAGTTCCTCTTAAATTCATATTGGTTAGATTACTAATATAGATATATGTTTGCATGATTCATTAGCCAACAGATGAATCACTAGGAAGAATTAAAATCTTTCAATATTGGAGTGGAGATGATGAATTGATTGTTGAGGGTATGTTGTTGTCAACTGACCATAATGAATTGGTGGATGGTAGACCTCTAGGACATGGTGCTGCAGTTGTTAAGGTCCTGGAGGTGGTTAAACCTGATGCTTATCTGTGGAGACCAAATCCTCCAATCTCATTGATGAGTGATGCACTAAATGAGACCATCGCATGGCCTATTGATAGAATACAACTCCTTGATGTACCTGCAAATGATGAATCAACCAGAAAATCACCTCAAGTAAGTTTCTCTGCAACTAGTTTTTAATTTAAATGGTATGAATACTTAAACTTGGATATCTTAGAGTAGTCACATGTTGTATTGGATTGTGTTGATGTTGCTGTGATGTTAGTCTGATGTAATTCTTTTTATAATGTTTGATTTTAGAGTGCAACTACTCCCAATGCTATACTCTCAGCACTGCTAGTAGCAAAGGTGCTAAGCAGAAGTGTTTTCTATTAAATATTGATAACACTGGGCAGAGAGTTGCAATAGGTCGGGTGTCTTCAACTGATCCAGCAGAGAAGGTCCATCACGTCCCTTTAGGTGCCAACGCTAGCAAGGTCTGGGTAGAGGTTTCCAAGGTTGAGGGTGTTGTGGTGAGCAAATTCTGAAGTTAAATTCATTGCTGATGCAGTAGGAACCACTGTGGCTTGGCCTAATGACAAGATTATATTCATGTGATTTGAGTTTTAGTACTTTTGAACTAAGTTTCTAAAAATGTAAAACTTATGTTTGACTCTCTTGGAACAAATTATTAATGAAGTATTTGATAAAATAAATCCAGATTTTAATATTTTTATATCGATTCAAATTATATAAAACAGAAATATAGATAAATTAATATAATGGTATAATAAATTAATAATTAACATAACATTGCCTAAAACATTGTTAATAATATTATTAATAACAACATAACTACGCTATTATATAATATTTAATTGCATTTACCAAAGCGCTATTGTATAGAACAATAACATAGCATTACGAAAAAGCGCTATCTAAAGTGTCTGACCTATTATGATGGGCGCAGAAATAGCGCTTGTCAAAACGCTATAGTATCATTAGATAGCGTTATTCGGGTGCTACGAAAAGCCATTTTTCTTGTAGTGGATGGTTGATGAGAAATTCTAACTATTTAGAGTATTTATACCGAGAGAGCGCTAAACGATAGCCGAGAGAAGTTCCAACCGAAGCAGATTGCTTTCAGAGAAGAACGAGAGATGTTCACAAAATGAGAGGAAATGAGAGGAAATGAAAGGGAATGAGAGGAAAAAATGATAAAGAAGAGAGAATAAGGACGAAAGAGAATAGCTGATAGAAATGAGAAAAATATGAAAGAAAAACAGTGAAATGCGAATAGACTCAAGACAAATTTTTTGACGTGCAATAAGGACAATGATTATATTACTAAAAGGTATATATCTTGCTAATTTTAATATTTCTAATATATTAAAGCGTTTATTCATAAATTTAAAATTTACAAGAATTGATCCCGCAAGGAAATAGAATGCCCATAGTTGAAAGTGAATTCACCGCTTGCTCGATGAAAATGGAAGTGATCTTTGGAATTCGTTCAAACCAGCTATATTTATAATATGAAACAAAACTCCCATGATGAGAAAATACAATTATATGGTTAAATTAAAGTCAAGAACAAGTTTGAAAATTATTATCCCTATCATTTATTTTCAGAAATTTTAAATTGCGTAAATGTTTTAGTATTGTATGACAACAACTTTTTTCTTTTTTGTGCACATTATGACAACAACTTAAGGTTAGAAGTTAGAACACCAATCATGTTGTTTAGTATTAATATTTGTAATAAGGTCTAAGCTACAACACGAGACTCTAGATAATCTATTAGCTAACATGTAATTGAAGTTAAGATTATAATCGATGATAAGAATAGTGACAAATTATTAATGGGAACTTTACTCAGATGTTATACATTTTAGATGAAATGACCAGAACCATACAGATCTTTCTTTTATTACTATCATATTTTGGGTATATATTTTATACCCAGCGTGCCCCTGGTAAACGTTACAGGAAAAAACGTAATTACAAAGAATGCCATTGCCACGTCAGCGAAGCCGCGTCGCCACGTCAGAAATCGCTGACGTGTATTAATGAACTCACCCGTAAAGCGATACAACGGCAGTAACGGCTGAGTTACGGTTAATAGCGGCTGATTTAAGGAATATGGCTGAGTTATTAGCAAACGGCTGACTTACGAGTATAACCCAGCCATTAGTTACGGCTGAGTTAATGATGTCTGTCTGAGTTATGAGAAAACGGCTGACTTTGGAGCATAACCCAGCCTAAGTTACGGCTGAGATTTCACCCGTTGGTTGACTTGTTAAAATTTTGGCTGAGTTATCGCTTCGACACGGCTAAGTTAACTATATTCCGGTTGGCTGAGTTATCAAAGACGGCTTAGTTATGTGATGTCGTTACGGCTGATTTAGCCTCGAGTGTCATAAATCAGCCGTCATGAGCTGAATTAACTGAAAACTCGGCCTCATTACGGCTGACTTAGTAGCGAAAGATTAATTACTAGAATAACATGCAATTACGGCCGACTTATTAAACGATACGGCTGAGTTAAAGATTTTCGGTTGAGTTACGACATTAAACGGCTGAATTTGGCTGCATTTTGTTTCGTTTTTTAATTACTGTAATAGTATGCATGTTGCGACTGACTTATAGTTTTGTTTGATGGCTGGTTTAATTCTGTTGATTAACATTTTCGTTTGGTGGCTTACTTGCCACTTCATCAATTAAAAAAATGACGTCGGATACAACATTCCATGTCATCATTCCATGTCATCATTCCATGTCATTATCATCAAGGGAAATACGAAAGGTCTTTTCTACTCGTCTTCTTCTTCATTGTGTCGATCTTCACCTGTGTTTTTTCACATCACCAGAACTTAAATTTCAATCGTCTCGGCATCGTCTCACTTCTTCATTTTCGTTCTTCCTTATCCCGATATGACTGATCCGGTTCCGGTAATGGTTGTTTCCGGTAATTGGGTAAAGAAACACAAATACGTATTTAACACCGACGATAAAGGGTGTAGAGTTGTGCAGATAGATGCGGAAACAACGCACGACAAGCTTGTGAAGTTGGTGCTCGATGACTACGGTTTGAATGAGTTGTGCCATCAGTTAAAGCTGAGCTACATGTTATCGAAGAAGGCTATGAAAAATATGTCGCATGATACTCCACCAGTTTATGTCTCCAATGATCGACAGTTGCAATGTTTTCTAAGCCTACGGAAAATCGATCAACTACGTCTCTGTGTGGAATTTACGGTGAAAGAGTATATGGAAATTAGTCGGAAGGACGGATCGAGAGGAAGGATGAAACGGCCATCCAGGTCTGGCTCAAAATTAGAATCTAGATACGAAGTTCACGATGGTGGATTTGAAGGTTTCTGTTATGATTATAGTGAAAATCAAGACGAAGAAGCAGGTGACCAAGAAGCAGGTGACCAAGAAGCAGATGACGAAGAAGAAGATGATGAATTTTCAAGCCGATTTGATGTTTTCGACGACTCCGATGGTGCCTCGTCTGATGATGATAACTTTACTGTATACGGCGAGCCTTGTGAGCAAGACGAAGATTCACCGTCTCTGCCTCCTAAGAAGACACCTCAGAACATTGAAATGGCCGGATCGGCTGGGAACTCGGAGGCTCTAAGGTTGGAGTTGTCTTCGCTAAACCTCGCTGTAGGACAACGATACCGGAGCAAAGAAGATTTGGCACATCGACTCAAACTTCTTGCGGTAAGGGATGGATTTGATTTTAATGTACCAATATCAAATCCGACCATAGTGAATATTGTTTGCTGGGTTGATGAATGTCGATGGAGAGTTCCTGCATCTACACAAGGGGATGAGCCGCATTTTTATGTTCGTATATACGATTCGGAACACACATGTTCTGTGACGGAACGTTCTAATCGATCCCGACAAGCAACACCTGATGTTTTGGGAGCTCTTTACAGGGACTTTCTTGGTGACGTTGGTCCGGACGTTAAACCCAGATCAGTCGGAGTAATTATCAATAAGCATTTTAGAATAAAGGTAATTACTATGTGGCGGCTGACCTATTGATTACTATACGGCTGACTTTTTCTCATTTCGGCTTATTTATTAATACATTCCGGCTGACTTATAGTTTACGACTGAGTTATAGATATAATATGGCTGACTTATATATATTACGGCTGACTTATGTTTACATTGTGGCTGAGTTAAATATATTACGGCTGACTTATAGTGACGATATGTTGGTGTCAACAGATGGGTTATTGGAAGTCACATAGGACGCTCCTGTTTGCAAGGCAGATCGATCAGGGAACTCCTGAGAGTAGTTTTGAAGAACTGCCTTCTTACCTATACATGATAAGACGGGCAAATCCGGGTACAGTCACGCGTCTTCAACTTGATGAGGAAGGAAGATTCAACTATGTGTTCATTGCTTTTGGTGCCAGTATTGTTGGGTTTCCTTTCATGCGCAAAGTTGTTGTTCTCGACGGAACGTTTCTCCATGGAAGTTACAAAGGGACGCTTCTAACAGCCCTAGCTCAGGATGGTAATTTTCAGATTTTTCCAATAGCTTTCGGTGTTGTTAACACTGAAAATGATGATTCTTGGCGATGGTTTTTTACCCAACTCAAAGTTGTTATCCCTAACGATAAGGATCTTGCGATAATCTCGGACAGACATAAGTCAATAGGGAAAGCAATTGGTGAAGTGTATCCGATGGCTTCTCGTGGAATTTGCACTTACCATTTGTATAAGAACATTTTGGTGAAATTCAAAGGAAAACATTTGTTCCCTTTGGTGAAAAAAGCGGCAAGGTGTTTTAGGCTGAGTGATTTTAATGAGGCGTTCAATGAGATTGAAGCGTCTGATCAGAACCTACATGGATACCTCCAACGAGCTGGTGTCCAAATGTGGGCGCGTGTTCATTTCCCAGGTGAAAGGTACAATTTAATGACTACGAATATTGCGGAATCAATGAACAAAGCACTGTCAAAGGCCAGAAGCCTTCCCATAGTTCGACTGTTAGAATCTATACGGACTATGATGACCAGATGGTTTGCTGAACGGAGAGAGGACGCGAATTCGCAGCAAACAACGCTCTCACGAGGTGTCGAAAAACTTTTACAGGTAACTCAGCTGTAACTGCTTACATAAGTCAGTCGTCAAACGTTCATAAGCCAGACATTATTTCCATAAATCAGACTTAACGTATTTTGTTTTTTTTCTCCTTCTAATAGGCCCGTGTCACCGCGGCAAGACTTATGGGTGTACAAACGATTGATGCTTTACGCGTGCAGGTAACTTATGGATCACAGTTGCATATTGTAAATGTGGATGCAAAAATATGCACATGCCGTCGTTTCGAGCACGAAAAATTACCATGCATACATGCAATCGCAGCTGCAGAGCATATGGGTGTATCTCATATATCCCTGTGCAGTCTTTACTATAAGAGCAGTTACTTGGTTAGCGCATATGCTGCTCCAATCATGCCTTCCGATACGGCAATCCCTGTTCCTCAAATTGTAGTTAACCAACCGTGCTTGCCTCCGATTGTTGTAAACCAGCCAGGAAGGCCCAAGAAAATTAGGATTAAATCATCTTTGGAAGTTGCCATTGGAAACAAACGCCCTAGGAAGCAACATGTATGTTCTCGATGTAAACAAGCTGGGCATAATGCTAAAACTTGTCAGTCGTAGTATTGTTTGTATGAATT